TATTGATTAAATTGAGTTTTTAGAAAAAAGTGTTATCATAGGGAGTGAGCTATTTTGCTGTAAAGTCAAAGATAGATAGCAATTTATTTTTTTTGCAGGGATAGAACATTTATTGAATTGATATTTCGGAAAATGTGCTATCATAGTGGCTGATTTATTTTGTTGCAGAGATATGATGGCTTTTTGCAGGGATAAGATATTGATTGAATTATTTTTTTAAGAAAACAAAAGTGTTATCATAGGCAGTAAGCTATTTTGCTGCAAAGTCAAAGATAGATAATATTGCAGGGATAAGATTGAATTGAATTGAATTTATTGAATTGATTTTTCGGGAAAAGTGTCATGATTTTTGCAGGTAATATGTATATTATTTTCAGGGCAAAGTGTTATGATAATGGGTGGATTATTTTCTCCACTATAAATAGTAGTCTTATATTAATGATGAAAACTCACCCTTCATCTTCATTTTACATCTAAATCATGGACCCATACAGTAATTGCAATCCTAATACGAATCCACCACCACAAAATGAATCTCAAACATTTAATCCTTATTCTACCTTTTCACAATTTTCACAATTTCCATTCAATCCTTTTGTTTTTGCAGGTTCAGCTCAAATTCCAACTCAAGAGCAGATGCGTACTTCAAATACATCAAGTAAGAATAATTCTAAAGCAAAGGGACATAGAGAGCGAATGCCAAACTGGAGTATACAACAGGATGAAGTATTGTGCAAAGCTTGGTTGCATATTTCTGAAGATGCCGCAGTTGGTCCAGATCAACAGAGAGGGAGGTTGTGGGATCGAATCCAATGGAATTTATAATTTAAACCCCGATATTTGTAGAAATTTAGTTGGGCTAATGAATCGATGGTCAACCATTCAACAAAGCGTTAACAAATTTTCGGGATCCTACAAGTGGATACAATGCAGAAGATAATGTAAGTAAATAGAAAAAATGTTATATTTCATTCACTTTTATATATATATATATATATATATATATATATATATATATATATATATATATATATATATATATATATATATATATATATATTAAAGTCAGGTATTTATATTTCAAGTTTTATTTGTAGATGGGAGCAACGAAGAATTTATATTTCAAGAGTGAAAATCATCATTTTAAGTGGGATACTTGTTGGCTAATTCTGAAGGACACTTCGAAATGGCACCATCATGTCAACCATCATGTCAACGAACAACGAAAAAAACAGAAAAAGACTTCTCAAAGAAAAAGGACATAAATTAATTTGGATGATGATGATGTTGGAGAGTCTTCTAATGCACAAACTCCATCAGCTGAGCAATCAACCCTTACCGGAACTCCAACCGCAGTTAGTCTTGATGATGAAGATAGACTATCTAATCACGGTTCAACTGGACCAGCACGTCCTAATGGTCGCAAAACTGTAAAATGTCCTAGAAAGAAGAAAAAATTTCCTTCCATGGACTTATTTGTAGAGGAGTTTTCTAGTATGAGAAAAGAAGCTTCAAGTCAGTTCGAAGAAGAAGCCATTAGAAGAACTGCAAGAGAACAACAAAAGTTACAAGCCAAAATGGAAGCAAAACAAATGAGGCTACAAGCTCAAAAAGAAACCGAGCAGATGAGAATTGCAGCAATGCAAGAACAAGAAAAGAAAAGATTTGAGAAAGACATAATGATGATGGATCCCGAGTCAGCACCTACACTTGAAGGCAAAAAATGGATTATTGATCAACAAACTTGGATTCTATAACAACAAAGAGAAATCATAAGTCGTGAACGAAAAAATAAGTCAACATTTACGGATTCTGATAATTAATTTCCATGCATTTTCGTAAATTTTGATTTATTTTGTTTATGCCTATAGTTGGAGGGATGTTCCAACATTTTTATAATATCATATTCTATGTTTTTAACATTTATGTTATTTTTAAATAATAAATAAATTTTAATAATTAATACATTGTATATGAAAATAGACAAATAAATAAACTAATGAAACTCACAACATAATTAAACATAATAAAATATTAAATAAGATAGCGTAATTTAAAAATTAAAGTAATCAAAGAATTATATCTTATCTATTAATTAAATATATGAATTTTAAGTAATTATTTTTTTAATTTTTATGTTAATAATGAATATATTTTATTATAATTTAATATTTAGAGAGCTATTTTAGAGATGATCAAAATGTACCCATTGGAGCAAAAAATATTTTGGAGAGTGTATAAGTTGGACCCACTTCTATTGAGTAGTTAAAAGAGGATGAATGTGAGTATGTGGCATATGAGTCCCACGGTTTGGAGAGTTGATTTAGAGAGCACCATTGTGGATGCCCTTAGGGCATCTCCAACCTTGTGAGGTAAAAACATGACTGTTATATCTATTATTGGTGGGGAACAGTGTTTTAGCAAGTGAATTTTAATTTTGCACTCCAATCATACCACCTATATTTATACCATTTATTATATTTAATTACCCCTCAATTTTCCTATTATAATAGGTATTTATAAATTATACAATCTGCCAAAGAATTAATCATAAATAGAAATAAAAAAGTTATAATATCAAATTCTCAATATTAATAAAAAATATTTAAATAATTAATTTCAAAATTAAATATTGGTAATAAAATATTATAAGCATATATTAAGAATAAATATGTCGCACTTGGTAGCGGAAGTTTCATTTCTTCTACAAACCAAAATTAATTTTTATATTTGGAAGTCTTCTTTTTTCCACTGCTTTTGTTATTATTTTATTATTTTTTCATTTAGCTGGTGTATACATAGCAGCTGGACAATTGATTTTAGCTGACCTGGTAAAATTTAGCTTTCCCGTTGGAGTTCAATTTTTCGTTCATAAACGGTATAATCATTTATTTTTAGCAGATAGCATTCCAAAAGTGGGATGGTTGGAGATGCTCTTACATGCAGATTACCTAAATTATCCCGACTTAGTGCATTTTTGTATTTCTTTGTTTTTATACATTTTTTTTAAGTTTTCCTTTTTTTTTCAATTAGTTATTTCTTATTTATATTTTCACTTTTTTTCAATTTGATTTTTAAAAAAATGGTTTTATTTTTATTTTTGGCATTTTAATAGTCTTTTTTATAATTCGATTTTTACAAAGAATTGGTTTTGCAAAAACAAATCAGTTTTTTGAATAAAAGATATTTTATTTATATGGCCAATTTAAAAAAAAATTAATTATGATTAATAAAATAATTGTTTTTAGTATTTTTAAGAAAAAAAAATATTTATTTATATTTTTTATCAAATTGAATCCACTGCACACTTATCGAAATCAACTATAAATTTATCGAAACCCACTATGAAACTACCGTACATTCACTATGAAATTAACGTAATCCACTACAATATTAATGTAATCCACTAAATTAATGTAATTCGGTACGAAACTTTTGGAGTTAACTTTAGCAAATGTAGACAAGCAAATCATATGTGATTAAAAAAAAAAAAAAAAAAGAAAAAACACCAAAAAAACAATGTGCTATGCAAAGAGAAATAAAAAACGACTTTAACAATTCTAATAAAATTACTACAATCTCTTTCTTTTATTTTCAAAAATAGCACATAAGCACAAAAAACGCCTTTGCCCAGACAAACGGCATTAGAGCTACCCTAGCATCATCCAATCTAGCAACCCCATCGGTATCACTTCGCTTGCTCAAAAAGATGAAATTAAGAAATAGAAGACAAAGACGTATCAATCCATCATTCAAAAAATTGTCTTTCCAATAAAAATTTACTAAAAACCTTATCAAAATTCACTATAAAAACATTGAAAATTCGCAACAAAATTTATCGAAATCCACTAGCAAAATCACATCATACACTAGAAAAATCAGGTAATCGACTACGAAATAGCGTAATTCACTAGTAAATTCACAAAAACCACTATAAAAGTTCATTTAATCCACTACATAATCCACTAAGAATTTTACGTAACCCAGTACTTATCTTGATTAAGAAAACATCATTTTCACATCTAAGTTTAAAAATTAAAGTCCCTACACCCTCCACAAAATAACTTCCGAGATGATTTGTGCAGGCACCTTTTAAACTTGCAGGCACTCTTTTTACCATTCTTCAAAAATCAAAAGGTAAAAATTCTCACAAACTCTCTCAAGCTTTTGAAATTCGGTTTCAGATCCTGACCGGGACGACAACAGATCGGAGGTAATTTCTATATTTTTTTGATTGTTTCGTTACGTAGATTACGACTATTGATTTTTTTTCTAAAACAGCGCCTCAGGTAGTACTCGCGTGATTCTACATGAGCACAGTGGAGTTACTCGTGTAGAACACGCGGGAAGATGAATGTTTGATTTTTTTTTTTAAATTGAATAAATGCGTATTTTTTATTGAAAAAATAAAAAAAAAACTTAGAGCTCGTGTGTTATTAGGCGAACAAGGAGGGTTGTGCTCCTGTCAAACAACGCGAGCTTGCCTACGAACACACGAGCTCTATTTTTTTTAATTGCTTTTCAATTTTTTTTCTTAATTTTTGTTACTCTTGTGAAAACACGCGAGCATATCTATTGTTCTCGCGTGCCTTCTTACGAGCAGAATATATCTGCTCTCTCGTTTCACACGAGAACTTTAATATAATTTTTTTTTTAATTAAATACTTATTCAGTTTTTATGTTAAATTATAGATGGCCGGAGGTAGAGGGAAAAGTTTAACGAGTCAAGTTGCGGTAAAAGGTAAGATTTTGATGAAAGCTTTGGGTGGGAAGTCGGAAAATCCGGATGATTCGGATTGTATTAGAGATCGGGTAATTCTTGCATCCGATCATAGAAGGAAAGAGACGGCAAGAGAAGAAGCGAGAGCATTAGAGGCAGCGAAGAGTGCGAGGGAAGAAGCTATTGCAGTCGGAGTCGGGCCTTCTGTACCTATTGCCGATGATTTTGAAGTCGGTCATGTTCGTACTCCGTTGTAGAATGCTACGATGATGACGATGAGATGGTGGCTAATGATTACAGCGATGATGACGAGGAGATGGTGGCTAATGATGATGGTGATGATGATCATGATGGTGGTATAGAATTGCCATCGGCTCAACGGTCAATGTTCTCCAGAATGGATGTATCTGTTGGGGGTAATAAGTATCTCCTTCCGCAATTTTAACTACAATTTGACATGCACATCGGAGATCATGTGTTCCACTCTTCATCCAAAAGGTCCAATGCATTATGTAATACGTTGCATATCAAAGCACCAAAACACAGATATAAAGTACCGTACATTCTGATTTTTCTTCTTCTCTCATTTTTTACCTTCAATTCATTAGCTTGAAGGTCAACTTGCACATCAAGTTGATTTTGCACAGGATCAATAGCTCATGTCGATGATTGCAACGAACTCTTCGATGCACGGTGTGCACTCTCCATCTTGTTTAAACAAACAATCAGATAATATAGAAATGTAATATGTAGCAAATCTGGTGTAAAATGTTGTTCGTCTTTCGACGCTTATGTGGAAAAGATTTTACACCTTGCTACTGTTGGGATGTGATGCCCAGGAGTCAATGAAAATTCGCAAGAGATTCTAGATTAGCCGGTTTTGATTTTATTAACATGCTTTGATTCGATCCGTTAACGTGGAATAAATTTAATCTAGCAACTTACGTTTTCCGTTAGGATTCATTTCTATCATCGGCGCACGAACGAGAATTCACACCAAGCCTCCATTCCTCGAAAAGTTGTTGTCCAGAAATTTCCAGCCCTCTTCCTTCACCGATATCTCCGAGATAGTTAATCTGATGGAGAAACCTGTCAGGCGATTATAGTACTATGGGTTAGGAAGCTACTGTATAAATTTCAAGCCTATCAGATGAAAGGTTGATTTATGGAGAATTTCTTGGCAGGACTGCTCAGAAATTTTGGGAATAGTAGTTTGGTCAAAAAATCTATAATCTTCTATTGTATATCCCGGATTAATAATTATTCTACAAGGGTGGACTTGTACTTGAAGAAATCTAAATCTATATAAACTAAGAGAGAAAAGAAGAAGAGAAAAAATTATTCTTCTTAAACGTGTTGGACGTGTACAGCTCATTGTGAGATCCGTTTTCTCTCTCCAACCAAGTCTTGTATATATAGCGCACTAAATAGAGTTGTGCCAGGAAAGAACTAAGGAAACAAATTCTCAAATATTACATTCGAGCTACGGTGATCATTCCTTACATTCTCCTTACATTAAGATATCTTATAACTACCAAATAATTTATTCACTGCTAAATAAATTATATGGTTTCTTTTCATGATCAGTTTTACCGCTTGACTTATTTGAGTACGTCGGATACGAAATCCAGCTGGCCAGGACTTGGCATAAACAAATATTATAAGCTACTTAAAGGATATTATCAATTGCATATTTCAAAGATGTGGATTCCTTTCGATTATTAATTTCCACTTATTTTATTCTTAACGTCTGTACCCAACGCACTAGGGGCCATTTGACTCGATATAGGAATCTCTCCCTTTGTGACATCAAAATAGAAATCATCAATTAAATGTGTATGATTAAGAGAGTAGGTATTTTACTGTCAACTAGAAATAATACAGTTCATTTATGAACAGTGATGAAACAATTAATTCACTTTGTCCGGTTCAACACATGTCAGGTGTGCTAGCACAATAAGTCAAAACAATAGCTAAAAAAGTTATTATTTGTTTACTATGATCAAGACCAATCACTTAAATATTGTGCTACAATCTTTTACCAATGCTTAGTCCAATTTCATCTAAATTGTGAACAATTAACTTTATATTCTAAACGGACTTTCGAAATGATCTTTTGTGTGTCGTAGCACACCATCTCGAATACTATTAGAATATTAGACTTATGCTTTTAATTAATTAACAAACAATCAATTAAATGCATTGAATATCCTAGTGCAGATTCTCCTAAAAGGATAATATACTATTTTAATTCAATAATAAAATTATGTAGCTAAAAGCGAGACTTTTAATCTACTATTCTAACAATTACTTCTTTTGTTCACTGTAACTTTTCGTTTGTTTAACGAGGGAATATTTTGGCCCATGAGCTTGCTATTATGGTCAATTCTAGTTGTAAACCTTCCATCTTTTTTGGCTAATTATGCCTAATAAATTACCTTTTCGTCAAAAAAAAAAAAAAGAAAACAATTTCCCTTAATATCAAATTGAGGTTGAATGAATGAAATTATAGCATATTAAAACATGAGAGGATATTTTACCTTTTACACATCTCTTAACTTTATGTGGACTCATTTATAAAATTGTTTTTGAAATGAAATTAAATATGCATAGGTAACCCATGATGGACTTATTGGTAGGATCGACAATCGAGTTGGGTCTAACCGAAGCCCGGTTGGTCAGCCCGATTATATTGAGTTGAGCCTACATTTTAGTGGGTCGCGTCGAGTTTGAGCCATTTTACTAAACACGATTTATTTATGAGTCGAGTTTGAGCCTATTATGACTCAATCCAAATAAGGCCCGACCAATTAGATTATTAATAAAATATATAATATATTTATTATTTTAATATTATGATCAACATACAAGTTACTAGCGCATAAGATTAATTTATTTTACACCAAAAAAAAAATCAAAAAATAAAAAGAATTAAGTGGTGGCGGGTAGTTATGAATCAAATGCAACATATCCACTGAAACTCGATTGTTGAAATTTATGACCGAGATTTGGGAATACTATATGTTTCCAATAATAAGAGTTACTAATCTTTTTTTACTTCTTTCGGTCTTGTTTCTAATTAGTTTTTCCAATAACTTACTAAGATCGTTTAGAGTTTATTTGGATGGACTTCAATAAAGGTGAATCTTGTTTATTACTTGTTTATATAGTAATGAGGACTGATATAAACCTGAAATCCGAAAAAATACATATGCCGAGTTTGAACTTATACAAATGGGGTCCAATAGTATGTAAACTTAAGCGTATAATAACGAAACCCGATAATATATGAGCTTGAGCGGGACCCAGATTTAGGTGAGATGGCTCGATTGCCACTACTAATTATTGGTAATAGCCCCTTCCTTAATTTAAGGGCAAGACTTTTTGAGCGAAAATTATTCCCATAATATCTTATTGTTTACAGCGTGGATGTGTTATTGTGTTTTGAGCGAAAATTATTCCCATAATATCTTATTGTTTACAGCGTGGATGTGTTATTGTGTTACGTGCAAGACTGCAAGTTGTACCGTGCGCTGTTGTGTGTAGTGACAAAGAATAAATATAAAAAAATAACAAACGAATTAAAGAAATGATTTGGCAGCACTGCTGCTAGTTGAATATTCAACAAATAATAATTTGGCAGACCTGCTTGTAGTTGAATACTAATCAAATAATATAATATTACGTGATGAGAGTCATATACATATATACTACTTATTGAAGCATAATGCAAAAAAAAAATTGTAACACTGCTTTTTTCTTTTATTTTTTTTATTATTTTTTTTTATCTTTTTTAGAAGGTAACACGCCGCTTATTTCATTTCATTTATGTCTTTTTACTCCTCGACTGTCTCACTTATACATCGAGAAACAGATAAAGAAAAAAATAATAATAATCTCATTAAATAGCCCTTAGTTCGATTTAGAAACAATTATAAAATTACCTAATTTCTAAAAGTAATTATATCCAGGGCAGAACCAGGATCAAAATATAGGAGGGTTAATTAAAATTTTGAGATTCGGGGCAGCGCCCCGAAAAAAAAATATATGTTCACAAAACATTGCAAAACTTAAGTTTATATTACTAATTTTTAATTACAATATCATATATATTATATGTATTTCATATTTTAATCATCACAAAAAATTCTAAATCATTCAAATTATTCTAATAATGTATTGCACTTAATATTTGGGAGATTCATAGCAATAAAAAAAATTCAAAAATAAGTAATATTCATAAATTTTGTTTAAAATAATACAAGTTTTAACCATCTTATTTTATATTTTATATTAAATATGATATATTTATCTATAATTTATATAAGATTATGGAGAAAAAAAAAAATAATAATGAGTTAAAACACATATTTACAAAAATTTTGGGAGAACAAAAGTAATATTGAAAAAATAAAGTACCAAATACTTGGAAAAAAAGAATTCTTGGGGGTCAACAGCCCCTGCCCCTTGCAACTACCGCCAGTGATTATATTATACATGTCTTCTCTTTAGGAATAATGATTATTGATCAAGGATAAAATTGATACACCAAAGTTAATTATAATACATTTAGGGCTCGTTTGATCGAGGAGATTAGTTATTATTAATTAAATAATTGAAATGTAATATGTTTGATGTTTAGTATCTCCAATAATTTGTCGGGTCTACCGCAAATATTATGTTATCGCTTATTTTGTCTTATCTAACCTTTTAGAGTGTTTGGTTGCTAAATTAAGATTACATAATTCAATAAAAACTGAAGGGGTTTTGTGCATAAGTTCCTGACCGGCCATCTTTATTATTCTAGGTTTAGCGGTTGTATCTCTTTTGTCAATAAGCCCATCTCTATATATATTATAAATAGGACACTTTACAAATAAGTCAATCAATAAATATTTATTCATAAAGGGGTCCAGACAATAAACTATTTTACATAAAAGTCCACATATGATCCAAAGTTTTGTAAAAGACTAAAATAGCCTCTCACATTTTAATATACTCCAATTTCATCCTTTAATTTAATCTAACTTTAATTTGACCCCAAATTTCTCAAATTATTCAAATTTGACCCAAAACACAATTTTATGGACAATTTCGTCCATCATGGCCGTTAACCGCCGGTCTTCGGCGTTGACTTTTCTTTTTTTCCTTATTTTTTTTTTCTTCTTGATTTTTCCGCCACCGATTTCCGGCTTTGACCGGCGGTCAACGCCGGTCTCTTGCGTTGACGTTTTTAAAATTTTTATTATTTTTTTATTTTTTTCATTTTTTTTCTTTAACATCTTTTTGCCCCCATTTAAACAACAATATTGTTGTGGTTGACAGTAATATTAACAATATTACTGTTAAAAATAGTAAAATTAACTATACTACAGTTTAAGACAATAATATTGCTATATTAATCTCTAACACAGTAATATTAACACTACAAAAAGTCATTATTATTGTGTAGTACAGTAATATTAATATGTTGACCGTTCAACAAAGGTAAACATAATAAAACTCCAACAATAATATTACAGTCAACCACAGTAATATTACAATAATATACAGTAATATTATTATGTTACTCCATCAATAACTCAAACAAAAAAAAACCCAAAATAATAAATAATATTGATGTGGTTGACAGTAATATTATTGTGTTTATAATTATTTTACTGTCAACGACTATAACGACAGTAATATAATTACGTCGACTTGTAAACAAATCATACTGATTTCTCCTGGCTTGCCTAAACGTTCGCTCAATTTCGGGATCGAGAGGTAGCAAGATCGTGTCGTGTCTTCTTCGCATAAAAAGTACCTAAAACAAAATAATAAAATAATTAAATAAAATAAATAAAATGGCTGAAGTAAGAAAAATTGCTCAAATTTAATATTAGGATAAATAAATAATTTAGCCGTATTCCCCGGCAACGGCGCCAAAAAACTTGTTGGGTGCTAAATACCAACACGCAAGTGCACGTATCGCAAACAAGTAGTAAACTGGACTCGTGAGAGTCGGATGTCGATCCCACAGGGAATACTCAAATTATTTAATCCTAAGTACCAAATTTTAACAACTATGATTTTTATCCAGCCTACGCAAGTTTGTCAAATTAATCAATTAAACAATTAAACTAATTAAGAAAGCAATTAAACACGAGAAAATATCAATATAAAAACGGATCTAGGATTTTATCTTCCCCCTATGCGATAATTCTTCACCCAATTAATCTTCTATCATGCAAGTTACGATTCCCAATTATTAACCCAAGACACGAAATTACTCATAACCAGCTGTCGCGTGTATTATAAGTCTATTATTCATAAACGATTCACTATATGTCTATGCAAACCTAGTATGAATAAAGCATTAAATAACAAGTCTCGTAAACGGCTACCTAAGGTATTATCTATATGTCTACGATAATACATGCAATTAACACACTCATCCGGTGAAAACTACTCGAAGGCTCTTCTATCCCTGTTCTAATTATTAAAACGACATGTCAATCAATTCTAACAATAACTAATAGCAACATAAATTAGCCACGTTCATGCGCTAATTAAGATCAAAATAGAAGAAATAATCGAAGATTTAAACTTGCATAAAAGTAGAAAAAGAGGTTCGAATTACCACATAGGGTTCCAACAAAATCCTAGGATAAAAACTTAGCTACTCATGTTCTCTACGAAACGCATAATAAAAATACGAAAAATCATAAAAGCTATGAATAAAAATAAAAAGAGGAGAACTATGGTGAAGATTCGTCAAGTCTACGTCTTCGTTGCCCCGTTCTTCTGCTCCTAGATAGCGTGTAGAAAGATAAAAGATAGATTCCTTATTGTGTGCTATTTGACCTTTAAATAGGGTGCAAAAATATAAAAGGGCGGTTTCCTTGTGTAATTAAAATTCCTTCACTGCGCCACTTCGTTCATCCGGACAGCCGTGCGAGAATTCCTTCTTAAATCCGGACGGCCGGGTCTTTAATTCTTCGGAGTTCTGATTTTTTCACTTTTGGCCCACTTTTTCTCCGAATTTGCAGTTTTTACCCCATAAGTTGCCAATTCTTCAATTTGCACCTAAAATACAAATAATAACCATTTTAAGCACCAATTATCGTTAAAACACACCAAAAGTTCCAATTAAAAGGTTCAATTAAGTGTATAAATATACCCTTAACACCAAACATCCTCTAGATTCATATGATTTAGGATTCGATTTGTTATAAATATATATATATTTTGAGAATAAAACTAAAATTATGCTAAAATCTTAAGTTTTGATTACAAGCACTAGTTAGATACGATCATTCTCACAATAACAAAATACGTTCACATTTTATCATGATTACTTTCCTCTTCTTTTAATATGCAATGGCAGTAGACAAATTTGAGTCGAAATTGGAGTCAAAATAAACTCAATGCTGGAGACCAACTCAATGCTGTAGACCAGCAATCAACAACGGGGATAGTAAGAAATTGAAATCAAAATTAAAAGATACTTGAGGATGAATCTAAATTGAAATAAGTTGTCCACCACTGACTTATTTGCAATTGTCCCTTATTATATTTGCCTCGGCTACCCAAATTTTTTCAGTGCATTTATTGGTCTTTTTGTTTATTCGTTTATAAATTATAACCCGGTCCAGAGAAGTATATAATAAGACCACCATCGGTCATTGACTATATATATATATATATATGGCAGTTCCGATGTAACAACTGCTCCGTTTTGGCCTATATATATTAAAATAAATATTCAGCATATTAAACGTACAAGGAACAGTTTTTTACTAGAAAAATGTCACTCGGGTTGTACCTCAAGGTTTTCCCTTTCTTAGACAATGGGATTGGAAGCAGCAGACATAGTTTTCCAGGTTTAATTGTTTTTCATTTCAATCTCTTGGATATCTTATCTTCACAGTTGGATATTTTTCGATTTTCAAATCCGTCCTATGAATCAAATATCCCACCTCTGCATTGATTTTAATTTGTTCTACTTTGCAGCGAGTGGATTTCCCATCATCAGTAAATCAGCCATCACCGTCAGATGCGGCCTGAATAAGTCAACAGTAAGTTCATATATAACTAGATTCCTATTTCTCCCTTTCTTGTTATTATTAATATACCTTATTTATAACCTCATCAATTTAAACTAACATGTAAGTGTAGAGTTTACAAAAATCAATCGAAAAAATAAGAGAGAGGATTACAAATGAAAAGGTCGAAATATCTCCGTCAGCGTACGACACGGCGTGGGTGGCGATGGTGCCGGCGAGAGAGCATTCCAGCGGCAATCCTTGTTTCCCGGAGTGCTTAGATTGGATCATTGATAACCAGAACCCAGATGGGTCGTGGGGTCATCAATTTATCGTTAAAGATTCACTTTCTTGCACGCTCGCATGCTTGCTTGCCCTCCGCAAATGGAACGTTGGCCACCAACAACTCCAAAAAGGTGCATTACTACAACATTGGTTTTACCATTATTTTGTTTCTTTTCTCTAGTTTCACCGGTCTTGTGATTTTATTTACGGTTAAGTTCATTTTACACTCGTGAGCTATTGGGGTTGTACCCGATACATTTTTGAACTATCAAATCAAACGTAATAAAATAATCCATATTATTTGTGGTCGACGTTAGTGTTAATATTCATTTACTTATTTGCCCCCAATTTTGGCCTCCTGCTTGCACACACAAGAAAAGGTGAGCACTTCAAAATTACTCGAATTGGGTCATTACAAATAAGTCATCAATGGTTATTTATTTATAAAGAGATTCATATAAAAAATCTTATTTACCAATATGTCAACATATGGTAAAGATTTTTGTAAAAGACTAAAATAACCCCTCATACTTTAATATGCTCCAATTTCATCATTAACTTTATTTAACCTCAATTTGACCCCAAATTTTACAAATTATTCAATTTTGACCCCAAAACATTTTTTTTTCAATTTTTTTTTGCCGCCGGATTCCGGCGTTGAGTTTCATTTTTTTTTTCTTCCGGATTTTTTCGCCGTTTCTGACGTTGACCGGCGGTCAACGCCGGTCTCCGGTGTTGACTTTTTTTTCTCTCTCCTGATTTTTCAACCACCGTTTTCCGGCGTTGATCGACGGTCAACGCGCCGGTCTCTGGCGTTGACTTTTTCGATTTTTTTTTCTTTCTATAACATTTTTTTTTCTTCGTTTAAACAACATTATTGTTGTGATTGACAGTTATGTTAACTATATTACTGTTAAACATAGTAAAATTAACTAAACTACAGTTTAACACAATAATATAGTTATATTAATCTCTAGCACAATAATATTAACACAACAAAACTCATTATTATTGTGTAATAGAGTAAGGGCTCGTTCGGTTACCTATATTGGATTAGATTGGATTACATGAGATTGGATTAACTCCCTACTGACTAATTAATTATTTAATTAGTAGCATGTTCGGTTTCTTAGATTAGATTTTCTATTAAATTTGTTAAAATCGGTTATTATATATGAATTGTCTATTAAACCACTTAGTTTACAATAATAAAATATGATTTTAAGGATAAAATTGCCTTTTTCCTCTTTAGTCACCCCCTATTAAATTAATCTCAGGGGGATGGGTGCTACTAATTTAAAGAAATAGTAGCATTTAATAGCGGACTTTGATTTTAGTAGCGGGTTTGAAAAAGTGTGAATCTTACCAACCGAACATGCTATTAGCCCCTACTATTTAGTCAGTAGAACCTTATAGCGGTAACCGAACGAGCCCTAATACTACTATGTTGACCGTTCAACAAATGTAAACATAATAAAAAGCCAAAAGAATTAATATTACTGTGAGTGACAGTAATATTACCATAACAACAGTAATATTACCGTCAATCACAGTAATATTAAAATAATAGACAGTAATAGTATTACGTTACTCCGTGAATAACTCAAACAAACAACAAAATCCAAACAAAATAATAATATTGATGTGGTTGACATCAATATTACTATAAACAACAGTAATATTACTGTCAACCACAGTAATATTATTGTGTTTACTTCAATATTACAATAATAGACAGTAATATTATTACGTTACTCAGTGAATAACTCAAACAAAACAAAAAACCCAAAAAATAATAATATTGATGTTGTATACAGTAATATTATTGTGTTTACAGTTATTTTACTGTCAACGACAGTAATATAATTACGTTGACTTGTCAACAAATCAAACAAAATAAAAAAAATAACAAAAAATAATAAAAATATTACGTTAATTTACTTTCAACGGCAGAACAATTACATAAATGTATTGTCAACGGCAATACAATTACGTTAATTAACTGTCATTGACAGTATAATTACGTTAATTTACTGTCAGTGATAGCACAATTACGGTCAACGTTTAGCGGCGGACGTAAAAAAAGAAAAAAAACACTAAAAAAAATCAACGCCGAAATCTGGCGGCGGAAAAAAATTGACCAGAAAAAAAAATTTAAAAAAGTCAACGCCGGAAACCGGCAAAAAAATCCAAAAGAAAAAAAAAATCGAAAAGTCAACGCCGGAATCCAACGGCAAAAAATATTTTTTTGAAAAAAAAAGTCAAAATTGGATTTTTTTGGTCAAAATTGGATTTTTGTGGACAAAATTGATTAAATTGGAGTTACAATTAAGAATTTGGTATAAAGGGTTGGGGGTGATATTGTCACATACATGAATGTTTCCTTTATTTATAATAAATATTAAAGTTATTGGTGAGAGATATAGCCCTTAATCGCATAATAATAAAGATGTTTGGTTTGTGACTTATGCACAAAAACCCCTACTCGAAAAGGTAATTGTAAAACAATAATATTTGATTTCATATTGAAATTTTAATTGTTTTTTATTTGATTTGATTTTTAAATATTATTAGTTATTTTTATTTTTTATTTAAAAATACATTAGTGAAAAATATTTAATTTAATGAGTTTAAATTCCATTTTCAGTTAAAATATTAAATTTTATTAAAGGTCTATGTAATGTTTGAAATATAAGGATAAAAATGTAATTGTAAAGTCAATGTTAGATGTTAGCCATCATCAAACTTAAAGGGAGGTGTACGTAGTTTTTTTGAAAATAGAGGGATCTTGCTGTAATTACACCTCACCTCAAGAGATGTATGTGTAATTTGTTGGCAATTTTGAGTAAAATATTTAAGTAGATTAAATTTATTTTCTCAAAGTGATTTGTTGGTGAATGAGAAATTAATAAATCACTTTAAAGTATTTAATTATGAAAAATAATAGGTGAAAAATCACCATTAAAGATGAGGTGTTTGATTTATATGAAAATATATGGAATATTTCCATGAATTATTTTCATAAGAGTTGTGACTATTGGCCACAACTATTGAGAATTTATCTATCTATATAGATATATATATATATATATATATAGATATATGTATGTATATATATAGATATATGTATGTATGTATCCTACACTACACAATCCACAAGTTGTATAATTCATTTTTTACTCAATTCCATATTTGTTTGTTGGAGTTCTTCTTTCTTTAGCCCGAAAATATTCTTTAATGTTATCTTCCATACTTTTATCGAGAGTTCAAAAACACATTTGAGTGTTCGTAGATTTCGAGATTTGTAGTGCTACAATATCGAAATAAGGTCGTATCTTGGGCTACAAAATTGCGAGCACCAGTACGGGACAATAATGTTTCATGGACAAAGAAGCGAATTCTTGTCTCGACCATTTTCCTAAATTCATTGTCCATTGTTATGCACCGAAAATATAACATAATTTTCCTTAATATCGAACTTCACGGGAGGTAGATGTGTCTATGGTTTCCCCTAGTAGTTGCTCTCAAATTAGTGGGTCAAAATTAAGGGATTATTAGCTTAAAGTCCCTCAGAACTATTTTCTATAGCTTAAAAGTCAGTGCGGATATTTAATATTTATGTAAAGTTTTTCGAGCAGCTTCGACGGACGACTTACACCGAGAACTCACTCTCTATGTGATGTGAAGTGCTCTATTTATGCAGTGTTAGGTCCTAATTTAAGATCCCCCGTAAATGTTCCCTATGTGTTGTTATACTACGATCTAAGCTCCCTGTCAAAGATGCCCGAAAGACTTTAAGCAAAATACATAAAACAAAAAGAGTGTCCTTATATGAAAGGAAATTAGACTTAAAGGGTGTTTTACAAATTGCCCTAAAACCTATGGTGCACGGACACGGATACGTGGACACGGCGATACACGGATACGGACACGGTGATACGGCATTTCCAAAAAACTAGGATACGGACACGTGGGGGATACGCGTAAATATAAAAAATATAGGGGTATATTTATAAATAATAAAAATATAGGGGTACATTTATAAATTGTAAAAAATATGTATAAGTCGTCATCGCATAAGAGAACCACTCGCCCTTGTTGCTCGTGTTCTTGATCGCCGTCGCATGCTAGACTTTTGGAGTTTTTGGTGGACTCACAAAGAAAACAGAGGAAATGTGTATTACAGAGAAAAGAAAATGCGTATTTTTTTTATTAGAGCTCTCCTTTACAACGTAAGAGAAGTGTCCCAACTTTTTTAAAATTGTGGACACTGCCTGATACGGGTGTCCTACTTTTAGCGAAATTACGACACGGCCCGACACGGGTGTCCAAGAAGTGTCCGGGAGTATCCGAGTATCCAGGTATCGGATACGGGGACTCTTCAACTTCTAGAAGTGTCCGTGCAACATAGCCTAAAACTAATGGTGAAAGTAGCCCTTTCAGAAAAATATCAATATTTTTTTGAAGTAACTAATTCTACAATTCTAAAAAATCGGAAATTAAAATTTAAAAAATTGGAATGAAAAGTTTGGATTTAAATCGATGGACTTCGTAAATTACATTTATTAGCTCACCTATAATATAAACGATATAATAATATTCATATTATAAAATATAACCAAAAAATCACAAAGCAATGTTTTGGAAATGTCATGCAAACTCGCATGAACGTCACTGAAAAAATCGTCTTAGTGAAGCTATAGGATATCGGAGTTCGCCAAAAAAAGTTCCGATCGCCCCCACTGACCATTGACTATCGTCGTCAAAATCGACAAGGGGTGGTCGGATTATTCAAACCTTCAAAAATAATCTTCAATTTTGTAAAGAAAAATTAAATCTGAAAATGATTGTCACTTTAAAAAAAAATATTTGTTTTATATTATAGAGTAAACTGCAAATACTACCCCTGTGTTATCTCGAAATAGCAAAAACCCCCCTGTGATAAATAAACTAGCAAAAACCCCCCTGTGAAATTTAGTCAAAGGCAAAATCCCCCCTAGCTGATTTTTTAGACTTGAAATGACAAAATTGTCCCTCAAAATGTATTTATATATATACATATTATATGTATATTTATTCCTTTTAATTTATTTGTTTAGAAATTAAAAAAAATAGTAAACAACTAAATTGATTATTTTTTAAATAAAATAATTAAAATATTTATAAAATATAAGAATTTATTAATTGCAAGACTCCAGGGGTATTTGTGTCTTTTTATATCAAGTCAACCCTCAAATAGTTCCATAGGGGGGTTTTTGCTATTTAAATAATTTCACATGGGAGGTTTTTGCTAGTTTATTTATCACAGGGGGGTTTTTGCTATTTCAAGATTATACAGGGGTAGTTTTTGCAGTTTACTCTATATTATATGTTCCTTTAGATTCCCAATACAACTTTAAATACATTTGTTTTTTTAACTTTATTGATTCAACTCTATGTACTAACTCTCTATTATAAATTATTAATTAATAAAAGGTTATCATACTCTTTTTTATGTGTTTTTCTCCTTTTGTGATGAAAAGTTTGTGACATATCATATCTATGACAATTAGTGACCGACTAAATGACGGATTTGTGACTGATTCCAACAAAAAAGAATATAATAATTCCATTGTGACGAATTTGTGATTAATTGTGAGACGACTTTTGTCAGAGCCGAAAGTCGGTCACATTTCCATTAGTTGTTTTTTGACGAAAATTAGTTTTGTCAACTATCGGTTACAAATATTGTGACAGAAAATTAGTTTGGTCAAAAATCTGTCGTAATGTTTTCATAGAAATAACGTCTTGGCTAATATTGGTCACCAATTCGTCATAAACTCATTCCATCACAAATCTATCACAAAATAAATGACAAAATTAGTGACAAATCTGTGATGGAATTTAACAAAAAATATTCGTTTTTGATTGTGACGCACATTTGACTGATTTTGTGATTGTGCAAAGGAGAAAAGAAACACGTAATTATCCAAAAAATATGTAAACTCATGTGTTATATATATATATAGACCGACCCTAATAACAACCTAATTGAAATAACTAACTCAAACGGTTACAGATAACTAATATCCAACACAAGAAATCGACTTGCTTGACATAAATAGAGCCTAATTGTTTTCAGGATTGGAATTCATAAGGGCAAATACATGGGCAGCTAGCGACAAGGATCAACTTTCTCCAATTGGTTTCAACGTTGTTTTCCCCACGATGATATGCCATGCAAACGAACTTGACTTGACTCTACCTTTTGACCAAGATTTACTCGATTCTATGACTCGGATACGAGACTCGGAAATTAATAGGTTAGTGTATTAATTACTATTTTGTGTACATTCATACATTACTAAGAACAAGTAAGAATTGAAATCTACAAGTTATCACGTATAGTACACATCAATGATGATATATCACACCCTTATCGATCGGTTCAAACAATATATGTCTATTTTGAATCTAATTTATCACGATAACATCCTTATAGCTAGCCCCTCATATTTAGGAACTTCTATAAATGTTTAATCTGTGATTTGACTCATTAATTTCAACTCAATAAGTTCGTATTTTGCCGGCGTTGCTCTAGTAGCACATTAACTTCACATCCCATAAATCCTTTGATCTTTAATTTTTATTTTATCTGACTATATATATATAATCGTGGTGTTTGTGATCCTAGTGAACGAAATCAGAATTTGGAATATTTCGCTGAAGGACTTGGAGAGTCATTCAATTGGGACAATATATTGACACACCAAAGAAGTAATGGCTCACTTTTCAATTCACCCGCTACTACTGCAGCTGCCGTAATTCACGGTCAAGACAACAAGTGCTTCGAATACTTGCAATCGCTTCTCATAATTTTCAAGGCTTGGGGTAATTAATATTGTCAATAGTTGTAGACAAAGAAATAATATATATATTGGATATTAACTATTTTTTCTTTTAAATTCTAGTGTAATTAGTTTTATCACAATTCATCGTGTAAAATGCATGCAACAGATGATCCCGTTTTATTTGTTGAAATCTCTGACAGTGCCCAATACTTACCCGTTGGATATATACACTCGTCTCTGCCTTATTGACATCATCCAAGGGTTGGGAATTGGTCGATACTTTCAATCTGAATTCTATAGTATTTTAGAAGAAACATACAGGTAACGTTGTTCTTATATATATATATATATATATGTAGTATCACAAACTATTAATGGTCCGATGAAAAACACGGGTGAACAGGCTATGGCAACTAAAAGAAGAAGAGATTTTTGCGGACATTAGTTGTTGTGCTATGGCATTTAGACTATTGCGAAGCAGAGGATTTGAGGTCTCATCGGGTACTTGTTTTTCGTTAAGTGGTGGCATAGAATTAAAACCAGATTACTTTTCAGTTTATTAGATGAAGAAATTAAAATGCATGGGCACTATATAATCAAAATTGATTTGTTTCAGATGCATTGGCTCCATATGCTGAGAAAGATCACGTTAGCCTGCAAACGGCTGGTGTAGGTACGATTCTTGAGCTTTACAGAGCATCGCACATAAGAATAAACGAAGAAGAAACAACTCTTGAGGCTATAAATGATTGGACCACCACATTTCTCAAGGAGCAATTGCTGAGTAAAACTATTCTTGACAAGAAATTGGAAAAACAGGTAATCAATAATTAGTATTTATTTATATAATTTTATCAAAAATAAAAGTTGTACTCATATATATATATATATATATATATATATATATATATATATATATATATATATATATATATATGTATATATGAAGGTGGAATACGAGTTGAAGAACTTCCACGGCATACTAGAACGCGTTGGGAATAGACAAATGATTGAATTATATGACGTGGATAATTACCAAATCAGGAAAACCGCGTATAGGTGAAGATATTTGAACAACAATCATTTTTTTATTTTTATTTTTATTTTTATTTTGTTCTAGTGAAACAATAACGACACTAAAGAACATTAAAAACTGCATATGTTAATTCCTTGTTTGATTTTAGGTGCCCCACAATCTACAATAAAGATTTTCTTGTATTTTCAAGGCAAGATTTTAATGTTGGTCAAGCTCAAAACCAGAAAGAACTTCAAGAATTTGAGAGGTATCTTTGCCACATATTTAGTAGCTAATAAAGCAGTATACATTTATTTATAAGGGTAATACTACTTTAATGTATTAAATATAATTACATGTTGTATATAGGTGGTACGTAGATTGTAGGTTGGACACGTTGAAATACGCACGAGATGTAAAAAACATTTGCCATTTTCTGGCTTCATCGATTTTTGCTGATCCTCAGTTGTCCGATGCTCGTCTGTCCTATGCCAAAACTATTCTTCTTGTATTATGTGCCGATGATTTCTTCGATCACTACGGTTCTAGAGAGCAATCATACGAGATCTTACAATTAGTAAAAGAGTATGTTAGTTTCTCTCTAATTAAGTACTATATATAACTCAAATTTTTTTTTTCTTTTTCTTTTTCATTTCCATTCACGTTTTAACGAGCTACCTAGTATTTTTGTCTACGCGATAATGTATACACTATATAATTTTGATGGATGAATAATAGGTGGAATGAGAAGTCAGATGTGGTTTATGGTTCGAAGGAAGTTGAGATCATCTTTAAAGCGGTGTACCGCACAGTAAACGATTATGCAGAAAAGGCCTATGTGGAGCAAGGTCGTTGTGTTAAACATCATCTAATTAACCTGGTATTTGGTCTTTTTTTTTTTTTTTTTTTTTTTTTTTTTGTTTCTTTTTGTAGTAACTAAAATATGAATGTAATTTCACCTCTACGAGCAGTGGGTTGAACTTCTAACATGTTTCATGAAAGAATTGGATTCATGGTGGGATGAGGCTACAATGAACTTGGATGAGTACTTGTCTTTCAGTCGGGTAACAATTGGTGCGAAAATATGCACTCTCACCTCAATCCATTTCATTGGTGTAAGATTATCGGACGACATGATTTTGAGTCAAGAATGCACCAGCATGTGCATGCATGTTGGCATAGTTGACCGGCTGCTGAACGATATTCAAACTTTTAAGGTAACCTCGAATCTCAATATATAATATTAATTACGCAGAAATATATATATATATATATATATATATATATATATATATATATATATATATATATATATATATAGTATGAAATTAATTTGGAAGATGAATGAGTTTTGACACAGAGAGAGGAAAAGGAAAGGAAGTTAAACGGAATGAGCATTCTGAAAGAAGTTCATAAAGATGAAGAGATTGCGGTTTCAGAGATGCGAAAAGTGGTAGAGTATAACAGAAGAAAACTGTTCAAAATCGGTTATCAAAGAGGAACAATTCTTCCTAAAGAATGCAAAGATGTCTTCTTGGAGACATGCAAGATGGGTTATTATGTGTACTGTAGTGGCGATGAATTCACTTCTCCACGACAAATGATGGACGATATGAGTTCATTGATTCATCTACCCCTAAAAGTGATTTAATCCAAATGCGATTTAAATTGCTTTTCTTTGTCTATATATATATATATATATATATATATATATATATATATATATATATATATATATATATGTATACTGTTTTTTTTTTGTGTGTGTAAAACCCCTGGATAATTGTCTTATTTTTGTTTGCTCAAACACTCTCCTTAATCCAATATGTTGCATGCATTTCACAAGAATAGGACTAATGGATTAGAGCAAGAATATATATATACTGTGACCATGCGTATGCTTTTGGTCGGTAAATAATAATCATTTAACAACAAAGTATTGGCTGAATCCCACTTTGCACTCTTCAAATATACCATTTTGGCACTTTGCACCTTTAAAAGAAATTAATAGCACTTTGCACCCTTGAAACTAGGGCTAGGACTGAGTTGGGTCGGTCGATTACCAGCCTAAAAACCGACCCATCCGTCAAACCATTTTTGCTCAAATTTGAAAACCGTTGCCGATCCAACCTTTGTGGTTCGGTTGATGGTTGACAACCAAATATTTGGTTCCGAAATGGGTCGGTTGATGGTTTATACCCGCAATCTAGTTCACTTACAAAAAATTCAATGAAATAAAAATATCCACATTTTGCGTAATGTCACGGTGCGATCATCATTTACCAGTTCAAAATAATTAATAACAATTTAGTGAAAAAATATAATAGAAAATTCAAAGTAATTTTAAACATGCACAAGAGATTTAGTGAAGTTTTGTGGAGCTTTTTGTTTAAGCTTGGGCATAAAGAAATTGTTGGAAGATTTATGTCAATTTTTTTTTACCTTGTTGATCGTTTTTAAAATTTAAAATACTAATTATTTTGATAATTTCAATAATCACTTAAGAAAACACGGCATTTATTTTATATTTTTAATAAAATTTTAATAATATAGTTGGATGGCTGATAATTATCGGTTAACCAACTTTTGATAATATTAGGAACCACCAGCCGACCCATTATTGATGGGTTGGTTGAAATTTTCGACCCGATCCAGTGGGTCGGTTAAAAATTGATTATCCGCCTAAAAATATGGTCGGTAATGAATCGATTGGTGGATAAAAACCAACCCAGTCCCAGCCCTACTTGAAACACAATATATCATGCATAATGCACCCCACATGAGTTTTTAAAACTAATATAGGTAATTTAATATTTTTAGTAGTATTTAAAAATTATATTTTTATCACAAAAATATTTTACGAAAAAAAATAGTTCAGGTATTTCGTTATCAAGTTATCTGAAAATCATATTTTCTTCCTAATATCTCTGCCTAATATTTCCACCAATGACAATAAAAGATTTGTCAATAGAATAATTTGGTGATAAAAATATATTTGATTTTATTTTGAAAGAAAATATATTTTTTTTCAATTATCCAGTGTGATTTTTATTTTTCCGCACTTTGTTCGCTCGAAATTAGGTTGGAGGGTGGAGAAAATAAAATTTAAATTTGTTATTTTCCACCCCGAAGAAAAACCTAACAAAAAATGAATTATTCTTTATTATTCAATAAAGGGTGCCTTGTGAATGATCTATTATATTTTGAGGGTACAAAGTGCTATAATTATTTTTTAAAGGTGCAAAGTGCCAAAAGACTCCATTTCAACGGTGTAAAGTGGGATTAAGCCACCAAGTATTTGGTTGCAATACCTATAACATGGTTGCAGCAACAATTGTCGTTATTTAATATATTTTAATGGGTTATTTTGTACAACCCTTCATTTCCAAATTATATAGAACTAACTATCAAGTGGGTTACACTCTAGGGGAAATCTCCCTCATTTCGAAATTTTTTTGACATACCCCCCTGGGCCACCCTGAAGTTCCTATAATACCCTTCTAAAATCAGTTTCAAACCCTAGTCACTACAATCGTCTCTCTCTTCTTCTATCAGATTCAAAATCCCGTCTCCACAAACCTCCCACCGGCGAAATTGCTTCCCGGAGCCATAACTCTCTCTCCGGTGGTCGGAATCCGATGGTTTAACTACCGTTGGATTCCTCTCGTCGAGCTCTTTCTTTTGATGGTGATTTCATTCAGTTTCGAGCGCTGATTTGTTTATGCAATTTTTTTTCATTCGACGACGGTGGTCTTGTCAGAGCTTTATTTTGTGTTCCACCCGTCGAAATTTGACGGGCCACCCACCGTTGGATTCCTCTCGTCCGGATCTATATTTTGATGGTAATTTCGTTTATTTTTATGTTTTCAGATTTATTTCTATATTTTTTTGCATTTGTGGGCGCGCAGAACCGTGGGTGGTTATTAGCGGCGTCTAGGGTTTTGGTAGGAGGCGAGGGGGTGAGGAGTCACTGTCTGTTTGATTTAAAATCTGTAGCATTTCCCAACAATAACCTCTCTCTCTATCTCTCGATCTCTTAGTGTTTGTTGATTTTTGAGTGTTTTGGTGTTTTTCTTCAAATTTTGTTGATTTGCATTAAAGTAATTTCTTTTTGTTTGATTTTGCAATTGCAACTTAATGAAGGCCATTGATCCTTTCCTTGAAGATATCAATTTTTTTTTTGAAGTTACATCTGATTTGTTCAACAGACTGTATACATTACTGTACATTAATAAAAATACATTACTGTACATTACTGATGTGATTTATAATAAAAATATTGAAATTTGTAAATTTTTGTTAGGGTTTTATGAATTTATTTTGTATAAGCCAGTATTCGTGTGTGTATACAATTGATCGAGTAAAAATATGGGGAAACAAACGAACATAACTATGAATTACTATAGGTACAATAGTTACATGTAGTTATTTTCAGTATTGTAAACATATTGTTTTGAAAATTAAAAAAAGAAAAATAAAAAAAAAATTAAAAAATAATACATATATATATGATCCGGCTGGATTCGTGGTGGGCTGGTTTAGAAAGTTGAGTAGGCCTGAACTTGGACCGGAGCCCACGATAAACCTACAAGAAAGAAAAGAACCGGACTTAGGCCGGAGTTAGCACTCCGACGGCCAAGTCAGTAACTTCCTGAAGAAGATATTATGCTTCTGTATGTAATTGATGTATATGATTTCGTTCTGGTTTTCCTGTATTTACTGCCCCTATTTATACTAAAAAAGGGGACGGACGTCAAATATTCTTCAATTTAATTTACCTGTCCAATCGCGGTAATTTAGGCATTCGGACCCCAAATTACCTTCAATGCAGTTTAATATGTCATTTCATTGTCGGCTGCATGTGCAAAAAGTAGGGGGCCGAAACGACATTCCTCTGCGTCTGTCAGTGGATTGGACGTGCATTAAATGCCTCCATGTGCAGCTAGAATCATATCCGGGCTGGTCCGGCGAGAAGCTTGGCGGGAGGGTGAGTCAGCGAGAGGCCTCTCTCTCTCGCGGGTTACTCGCGACCCGCTGCTTGGTCCCTCTCGCCTAACGAGCACACCAATTTAATGGACCTTCTTCTCTTAGTGGGCTTAATGGTGCCCTTTGACCTTGCTTGGGCCTTTGGTCTTTACTGGATCTGGCAAACGGTAACGGGCTAGAGCCACCTTGATGAGCCTTTGCTCCTTATTGGGCTGTCTAGGTGGCCCTGGCCGGATCAACTAGTCCCCCACTCGAGGTTAGGCTCGCAATCGAAGGCGAGCTACCGCGAGTCTACCTCTCGCGAGAAATAGCCTATGTTCCCTTTATCCGCTCGCCTATCGGCATGCTCATTGCTATAGCTTCGAATGGTGTGCTCCGCTTCATATTCCTTCAGAATAAATGTACATAATAAATTAGGGTTAATTGACCGGCTAAACTCTTTGTTTGATGCAAATTCTGCCCGCCACTTTTGTATTGTAAATAGTTAACTTTCGTCTCGTGCTTCCTAGCGGAATTTGCTCGCTGCAAATTCTGCCCGCAACGTTCGTATTGTAAATAGTTCAACTTTCGTTTCGTGTTTTCTAGCGGCATTTGCTCGCTGCAAATTCTGCCCGCAACATTCATATTGGAAATAATTCTAACTTTCGTTTCGTTCTTTCTAGCGGAATTTGCTCGATGCAAATTCTGCTCGCAACTTTCGCATTGCAAATAATTCTAACTTTCGTTTCGTGCTCTCTAGCGGGATTTGCTCAATGCAAGTTCCGCTCGCAACTTTCGCATTGCAAATAATTCTAACTTTCGTTTCGTGCTCTCTAGCGGGATTTGCTCGATGCAAATTCCGCTCGCAACTTTCATATTGTAAATAGTTCAACTTTCGTGCTCTCTAGCGGAGTTTGCTCGATGCAAGTTCCGCTCGCAACTTTCGCATTGCAAATAATTCTAACTTTCGTTTCGTGCTCTCTAGCGGGATTTGCTTGATGCAAATTCCGCTCGCAACTTTCATATTGTAAATAGTTCAACTTTCGTTTCGTGGTCTCTAAGTTATTCTGCTCGTCAGTAAGATCCTTTTCGTAGGAGGTATTCTGCTCGTCGGAGAGATCCTGCTCGCCGGATATATTATGCTCGTCGGCGAGGTCCTTCTCGTCGAAGGTATTATGCTCGTTGGAGAGATCCTGCTCGTGGGATATCTCCTCGTTTAAGTTATTCTGCTCGTCGGCGAGATCCTGCTGGTCGAAGGTATGTTGCTCGTCGGATATATTTTGCTCGTCTAAGTTATTCTGCTCGTTAGAGGTATTCTGCTCGTCGGAGAGATCCTGCTCGTCGGATATCTCTTGCTCGTCGGCGAGATCCTGCTCGTCGAAGGTATGCTGCTCGTCGGAAATCTCTTGCTCGTCGGCGAGATCTTGCTCGTCGTATTTTTCGAAGCTCGCCTGCTCACCTGCTCGTCGGCGAGATCTTGCTCGTCGGATTTTTCGAAGCTCGCCTGCTCCAGCTCGTCCGGGAGATCCTGCTCGTCGGCAAGATACTGCTCGTCGGATATCCTCAGCTCGTCTGATACCTCCTGCTCATCGGCGAGATCCTGCTCGTCGGATATCTCTTGCTCGTCGGCGAGATCCTGCTCGTCGAAGGTATGCTGCTCGTCGGAAATATCTTGCTCGTCGGCGAGATACTGCTTGTCGGATATCTCCAGCTCGTCCGGGAGATCATGCTCGTCGGCGAGATCCTGCTCGTGGAAGGTATGCTGCTCGTCAAAGAGATCCTGTTTGTCGAAGGTATGTTGCTCGTCGGAGAGATCCTGCTCGTCGGATATCTCTTGCTTGTCAGGGAGATCCTGCTCGTCGGCGAGATCTTGCTCGTCGGATGTCTTCAGCTCGTCTGATACCTCCTGCTCGTCGGCGAGATCTTGCTCGTCGGCGGTATGCTGCTCGTCAGAGAGATCCTGCTCGCCGGATATATTCTGCTCGTCGGCGAGTTCCTTCTCGTCGAAGGTATTATGCTCGTTGGAGAGATCCTGCTCGTGGGATATCTCCTCGTTTAAGTTATTCTGCTCGTCGGCGAGATCCTGCTGGTCGAAGGTATGTTGCTCGTCGGATATCTTTTGCTCGTCTAAGTTATTCTGCTCGTTAGAGGTATTCTGCTCGTTGGAGAGATCCTGCTCGTCGGATATCTCCTGCTCGTCGGCGAGATCCTGCTCGTCGAAGGTATGCTGCTCGTCGGAAATCTCTTGCTCGTCGGCGAGATCCTGCTCGTCGAAGGTATGTTGCTCGTCGGAGATATCATGCTCGCCGGATATCTCCAGCTCGTCAGGGAGATCCAGCTCGTGGGCGAGGTCCTTCTCGCCGGATATCTCCAGCTCGTAAGGGAGATCCAGCTCGTGGGCGAGGTCCTTCTCGTCGGATATCTCCAGCTTATTAGGGAGATCCTGCTCGTCGGATATCTCCAGCTCGTCTGAGTTATTCTGCTCGTCGGAGGATTTCTGCTAGTCGGACTCCAATACATTCGCAAGTTAGCGGAATGTCCAACACTGTGAGCTCTTTCGAGAAATCCCACTAAAGCTGAGCTTATTCTGAGGAAAATCCATCTCGCCAAGTCCCTATCTTTATAGAATAATTTGCGAGTTATTCTACTCTATACCTCTAGCGAAATAAATTCAAGTCAGCCCCTGTACAAATTTATAGTTTATCATAATTAAGCGAAAATTCAAATTACGATTATATTTTTATGTATAATCTCAGTTTAGAAAGCATTGGATCGGTGAATTTTAGCTCGGCGAACATTGAGTCGGCGAGATTCGGCTCAGGAACTTCGGGTCGCGAGACTTAGCTCGACGGACATTGGGTCGCGAGACTCAGCTCGACGAACATTGGATTGGTGAATTTCAGCTCGGCAGACATTGAGTCGGCGAAATTCAGCTCGGCGGACATTGAGTCGGCGAAATTCGGGCTCAGGAACATCGGGTCGCGAGACTCAGCTCGACGGGCATTGAGTCGGCAAAATTCAGCTCAGGAACATCGGGTCACGAGACTCAGCTCGACGGACATTGGGTCGCGAGAGTCAGCTCGACGAACATTGGATTGGTGAATTTCAGCTCGGCAGACATTGAGTCGGCAAAATTCAGCTCGGCGGACATTGAGTCGGCGAAATTCGGGCTCAGGAACATCGGGTCGCGAGACTCAGCTCGACGGGCATTGAGTCGGCAAAATTCAGCTCAGGAACATCGGGTCGCGAGACTCAGCTCGACGGACATTGGGTCGCGAGACTCAGCTCGACGGGCATTGAGTCGGCAAAATTCAGCTCAGGAACATCGGGTCACGAGACTCAGCTCGACGGACATTGGGTCGCGAGACTCAGCTCGACGAACATTGGATTGGTGAATTTCAGCTCGGCAGACATTGGGTCGGCGAAATTCAGCTCGGCGGACATTGAGTCGGCGAAATTCGGGCTCAGGAACATCGGGTCGCGAGACTCAGCTCGACGGGCATTGAGTCGGCAAAATTCAGCTCAGGAACATCGGGTCGCGAGACTCAGCTCGACGGACATTGGGTCGCGAGACTCAGCTCGACGAACATTGGATTGGTGAATTTCAGCTCGGCAGACATTGAGTCGGCGAAATTCAGCTCGGCGGACATTGAGTCGGCGAAATTCGGGCTCAGGAACATCGGGTCGCGAGACTCAGCTCGACGGGCATTGGGTCGCGAGAGTCAGCTCGACGAACATTGGATTGGTGAATTTCAGCTCGGCAGACATTGAGTCGGCGAAATTCAGCCCGACGGACATTGGGTCGCGAGACTCAGCTCGACGGACATTGGATCGGTGAATTTCAGCTCGGCGGACATTGAGTCCGCGAAATTCGGCTCAGGAACCTCGGGTCGCGAGACTCAGCCCGACGGACATTGGATCGGTGAATTTCAGCTCGGCAAACATTGAGTCGGCGAAATTCAGCCCGACGGACATTGAGTCGGCGAAATTCGGCTCAGGAACATCGGGTCGCGAGACTCAGCTCGGCGGACATTGAGTCGGCGAAATTCAGCTCGGCGGACACTGAGTCGGCGAAATTCAGCTCGGCGGACATTGAGTCGGCAAAACCTGGGCCAGAATCAGACAATTGAGCTCCAAGCAGTAAATATAAACTTCCGGAATTCATTTCGAGAGAATACTGCGTGCTTGAAAAGCTTCAAGCCAAAAAATAAATTTAGGAAATCAAACTCCCATGAATCAAGCTCATTAAAGCAAATCAACTTCGAGCTCTAAGGAGTCCTCCAGATCCAACATCTCTGATTGAGGTTTTGGGTCGGTTTATGTACCCAGGCCTGCCTCATATGTATTGAAATCGCACAAGTAAAACAAATATGGTGATGCAGTGGATTTTAAGGAAAGCCCAAGAAATCTCCCTCGATTCACTAACATCCACTCCCACAGGTGTTTTGCTTACAGTAGAAGTAGTTGAAAAATCGACGTCTTAACGCTCAATTTCCCACAGACGGCGCCATTTGATCCGGCTGGATTCGTGGTGGGCTGGTTTCGAAAGTTGAGTAGGCCTGAACTTGGACCGGAGCCCACGATAAACCTACAAGAAAGAAAAGAACCGGACTTAGGCCGGAGTTAGCACTCCGACGGCCAAGTCAGTAACTTCCTGAAGAAGATATTATGCTTCTGTATGTAATTGATGTATATGATTTCGTTCTGGTTTTCCTGTATTTACTGCCCCTATTTATACTAAAAAAGGGGACGGACGTCAAATATTCTTCAATTTAATTTACCTGTCCAATCGCGGTAATTTAGGCATTCGGACCCCAAATTACCTTCAATGCAGTTTAATATGTCATTTCATTGTCGGCTGCATGTGCAAAAAGTAGGGGGCCGAAACGACATTCCTCTGCGTCTGTCAGTGGATTGGACGTGCATTAAATGCCTCCATGTGCAGCTAGAATCATCTCCGGGCTGGTCCGGCGAGAAGCTTGGCGGGAGGGTGAGTCAGCGAGAGGCCTCTCTCTCTCGCGGGTTACTCGCGACCCGCTGCTTGGTCCCTCTCGCCTAACGAGCACACCAATTTAATGGACCTTCTTCTCTTAGTGGGCTTAATGGTGCCCTTTGACCTTGCTTGGGCCTTTGGTCTTTACTGGATCTGGCAAACGGTAACGGGCTAGAGCCACCTTGATGAGCCTTTGCTCCTTATTGGGCCGTCTGGGTGGCCCTGGCCGGATCAATATATATATATATATATATATATATATATAACAAACCGGTTTATAATTATAAAAAAAAAGGAAAATAATAATAAATAAATCAGCGAAAATGATAAATGCAGGACCATAAATGCTGAATGCAGTTTGGCCGAAAATTGAATATAAGGGTAGTATAGTACTTTCGAATCTCCAAAGGGTATGTCAAAGAATGATTTGGGTTTGGGTTTATCCCTAGTTTATTTGTTGGCTAGGCGGTTATGTAAAATAACCCCATATTTTAATTACCACGTTACGATGAAAACCATGCCCAATTGTGATAATCTGATCAATTTTTACAATCAAAGTCAAAATACAACTTTTCTTTTTTTAAATACTAATTGAATAACATAACACCTAACACTTGAAAGTCATGCATGCTCTAAACCATTTCATAACGGTGTCTACTTATAATGATTGACATAATCCAAGCACCCTCTTTAGTCTATCTCTATAAATCCGTACACTTAATATGTAGGATGTCTTTCCCATATCTTTCATTGAGAAACGAGTGGATAACCATACTTTAGTTGACTGCAACATTCCTACATTATCCCAATGAGCAGTATGTCATCAATATAAAGTACTAAAAACATTATGGCACTCCCATGCACTAACCTTCTTGTACACACAATCTCTTTCGGATTCTAAACAAAATTAAACTCTTTGATTGTAGTATCAAATCGGGGTTCCAATTTCGGAATGCTTGTTTCAGTAAATAAATGGATCGCCAGAGTTTGCAAATCTTCTACTTATCTCTAGAAGAAATAAAGTCTTTCGGCCGCGCCATATATCTCGTAGTCATTGTTAGAGTAGGTGACCAATAAGCCAATTTATGATTGTGGTCTTTCCTTTATTATCGCAATAAACAATCTATTTTGTATTAATGATAAATAGTCTAAGAACGTTCACATATTTATTGAACTTTAATAGAGGTCTCGGCGAACCAATGTATCTAGTTCAATCAGGACAAATGAATTGAAGGGATTGTACTGTACGTTAACTATATCACACGGTTATTGCATGCACTTCATTTATATCTAGAGAATCATGATGCATAGTTGCAAAACGTTATTTGTTGGACAGTTAAGTTGAAATTAGTTTCATCTCAATTATAACTCTGAGAAGAGTATAAATCTCAATGTGTTGTGGACCCACGACTAGTGTACACCTGGACCACCGAGGGTCACACTTCTCGTGTAATTGAATTCCTTGAAAGTAACGGAATAAGACTAATTATTAAGGGTAAATTCCACTTTACCCCCTTGTACTCTGCCCGAGAATCACTTTACCCCCTCGTACTTTCAATTTCCTCAATTTACCCCCTTGTACTTCTACAATTTCCCAATACAGCCCACTCCTTCAACTTTTGTCGATTTTGACTCTGACGACGTTTGGTCGAGGGTCGAAATATTGACGTAAATATTGACTTTTTTCGATTTTGACTCTCGAGTTTGGAAAAGAGAAAGTTTCACACATTCATATATTTTTTTCTTTGCACTGGGTGGAATCGATCAATTTTTGGGTCTTGTTTTTTGCTAAGTTAGGGCTTCAATTTGGGGATATCTTGGAAGGAGAAGTGGTGGGAGAAGAAGAAACGATAATATTGACGGAGAAGAAACAACGCGTTATAGGCAGTGGCAATTTTGTAATTTACAAAGTTGACCAAACGGCGTAAGAGTCAAAATCGACAAAAGTTGAAGGAGTGGGTTGTATTGGGAATGGGTACAAGTACAAGGGGGTAAATTGATGAAATTGAGAGTACGAGGGGGTAAAGTGGAATTTACCCAATTATTAATCTTTGCATAATTGGAAGTCAATTTAATTGAGTCCAGCGTTCGTAATTGTTGATTGCGAATGAGAATAAACGAAATACAAGAATTGAGCAAAAATTTAGTGAACTTTCTAAATTTGGAAGCTTCCCGATTTAGCAAGTCTACTAAATTATGGTTTTCAGTTTTAGAAATTGAAAATTGAGAATTGGCATTCATATTGACGAGTACGTTACAATGATTACGGAAATATAATCGTTGTATTTTTCCGATTGTTGAATAGTGAGAAACGAGCAGAGAAAGACAAGTTGACTTAAGTTGTTGGGTCTGGTCCAACTTAAGTCCATTAGAACTTTACAAGAACACTATAAATAAGAGATTTATAGATGTGAAACAAAACACAAGAGAAGAAAAACTCCGTCTCTCTCTATCTCCCCCTTGCATCCGTCCGCTGTCAGTGATGTCGCCAATTTCCGACGCCCCGTCGTCGGTATTGTTCTTTTATAGCGTTTTAATTACGGTATTATCTAACATATGCGTGTTTAGTGCCACTTAGGGTGTGAAATTTTGTATACGAGGTAAAATCCGAGAGGAGGAAGAATACTATAGTTGCCACCGCCGCCACGAGCGAACCGCCTCCGCGCGTCTCCTTCACGAGCCACCATGACGCCATCGCATAACCAGATTTGTTGGTGGGGGCAGCAAATATAGAGCTACTCAAAAGACATGATTTTTCGGTGTCGATGACTTGAGGCATGGTCTTCAATCTCCGTCGCCGCTGCCATCGTCTTCGTATCCGCCGCCGCTGCCATGGTCTTCACGTCTCCGTCGCCGATGATTTGGGACATGGTCATTCCCTGTCGCTGGTGTTTCTGTGAGTGAAGAGAACGAATAACGATGAAAATTAGGGTTGGGGGTATGTATGGGATTTATAAAGGTAGTTTGAAAATTAATAAAAACTCATTTTATTGAAAATATATGGGTGTTTCCTTAGCTATATTTGTCTTGCTAATTTTCCCTTACGAAAAATTATGATCGACAGAGACCGTTCAAGATTGCATATACAACTTTTGGGTAATTAACTCTGACTTTTTTTTTAACTTTTATGATATCAAGCTCGTTTGAGCTTATTCAGAAATTGGAAAGTAGACCATATTGCTACTGGATAAAAAAGTCATAAATATCTCATTCGAACTTATATCATTAAGCCAACTAATTCAACGAGACTTAAAATAGTACGAGGTTAGGTTGAACCAAATCGAATTATATGTCTTATAAATTGTTACGCTTCTTGAGCTACGACACATAATATCTATATCCCTTTCCCTCAATATATAGGGATAATTAGTTGGACTCCTTATTTAGAACTTATATGATTGTGGTCCATTTTGTTTAAATTAAATTAAATTATTTTTCACATAAATACTCTTAATTATTATTTATAGTAAGATAGTTAGTTATGGAAAATATAAATAAAATCCCACATTTCACTCTATATCAAGGTTGTAAAAAGCGGTAATCGGGTCCAAGTCGGTCAGGCACCGACTCACGATTAATCGATGCGGCGGTGATTAAACGGTGATAAATCGGAAATAAATCGATTTTTAAAATTTAATATAATATATTTCTAAATATTATTTATAAATACTCCAAACATATATAAGAAGATATTTAAACATAGTTATATCTCCATCATGTATATATCCTAATAACATAATAAAAGTTTAATAATCATAAGATCATAATACATAAATATTCATATAAAATATAAATAAAAAAATATTTTTTTTGAATTTACATTTATTCTTGAACATTTCTGGCATACATCATTAGTTCTTTAACAATAACAATTAACATAAACAAAATAAGGCATAAACTCATATTTTATTTTATTAAAATCCAACTTTTATTTTGAATTAAAAAAAAACAAAAAAAAAAACAAAAAAAAAAACAAAAAAAAAAACCGATTTTTAACCGATTTTTGACCGATTTTTACCACTGAGTTTGACCCATCTTAAAGGTTTGACCGCCTCAGACCGCCTCGGACCGCCTCAGACCGCCTAAAACCGCCTCACATGCAAAAAACCGATTTTTCAAACCTTTACACTAAAATCGTAAAGGTTTTGGACCGCCTCCGCCTCGGAGACCGATTAATCGGCCGCCTCGGCCGATTTTTAGAACACTGCTCTATATCACTTATTAAACTACTATATCTCTCCTCTCCCTCACATTTCTCTCTCCTTTTCTTTTCTCTCCACCTTTCTCTCTCTCTCTCCTTTATTTTTTATTTTATTTTTTATTTTTAGTAAACTCACATCTCTTTCTCTCTTCTTTTGTTTCTCTCATTTATCGCTCTCCTTTTTTTTTTTCTAAGTTGTGTCAGATTACAATAACAAATTGCAAAATACGATTAACAACATACAAATTGCAATTGGTAACATAAAAAATAAATAGCAAAATAAATATAATACGGAACCACCTACCATATGTCAGAAATATTATTTTACAAATGTCTTTTCACAACAACACAATATGAAACTAATGATTTGCTCAAGGCGCCGGTTATATGCAAACTCATTTTTTTATTAGTTCAAGACCTCCAATATAAAAATACTAATTTACCCTTAATGAAATTTAAAATCAAATAAAAAACACAAAACATTAAAAAATAAAAAAAAAAATCATTTCCTTTGTGCAAGACCAAATAAAATACATAAATCCAGAAACCCCTCTTCCTTATTTCACGACTTAAAAATCTATTTCTTCTTCTCCTTCTTCACAAACCCACCAAGAAATCCTACACACCAAAATTATCAAATACATACCAAACATTCACGATGGAACCAGAAAACAATGATATGGTGGTTTACGAGGGTGGAGATCACAATGAAATATATTTTAACCGTTTATTTTTGCTTTTGGGTCGTTTTTTTTTGTTGGGAAAAAAATTCGACGATACCAAAAATCGGTCTGCAAATATCGATTTTTGTTACTAAAGTCGGTAACCACATTTCGATTATTTTAATAAAAATCGGTTTTTAAATATCGATTTTTGTAGTAAAAATTGGCTTGACAACACCGATTTGTTTTTGTATTATCGGTATTGTCATGCCGACTTGTACTACAAAAATCGGTTTTTAAATACCGATTTTATTATCTGTGTTTTTTTAAGGGGATTATTTGTCAAAAGCCCCCCATTACACAAGCCTAATTACAATAGATCCAATTTTTTTGGAACTTTTTGAGATAAATCCATTTCAGCATTAAATAATAAAAAATAATAAATTATCACTATTTTACCCCTAACTTAAAAGTAACTTATATTTTATGATTGGAAGAAAAAAATTAAAAAAGATTTGTAATATTTTTTCCTATTATATCTCAATTTATTACCAACAACACCGGCATCTCCCTACAATTATTCATCAAGAAATCCTCATCGCAGCGGAAATATCTCCGTAGCTGCTCCGTCTCAACACCTGCGTCGGCCGCTCCTCCTCCCCGCCGCTGCCGGCCGCCACATCAGCGGCAAATTTATGCTTCAGCGTCGAGTTCCAAGGGGTTTTAATCGCGTTATCGGTGCGCCTGACGAGCAGCCTCGAGATCGACGCCCACTTGTTCCCTCGAGATCAGCAAGACGACTTTGGGGCTGCGGGGTAGAAATTTGAAGCTTGTTTTCGAATTTGGGTGATTTACATGATTTTATTCCTGATTGTTTTCGCTATCTTGACTTTGGAGTTTTTCAGTCATGGAGTTTTTATTTATTTATTTCCATTGGAGGTTGTGAGGAGGTGCTCGGTGCGGTGGCAGATTTTGGAAATTGATATAGCTGATGTTGTTGTTATTAGTCTTCATCACTTCAATGGCCATTATCACCAAATTCTTCAATTAAATAGCTTCTGTGATTTTTTTTTTCTTTTTCTTTTATTTTTTTTAATTTGCAGTTCACATTTTTAGTGTTTATTAATAAGTTTTTCTAATTGTTAGTTTCTTCAGTGGTTTATCGAAGCCCAATATCTCAATCAGGAGTTATCTCGAGAGAAACGTAAATATATGAATATGTTTGCTTATATGTAGTGGAATTCGTTAATTACATGTAGAGGAATTCTTTAGTTACATGTAGGGATGGCAATTTGACCCGCCCCGACGGATCCCCGGCCCGCTCCGCCCCGAAATTTTCGGGTATTACCCGCCCCGAAAAAAAATGGGGCGGGTATGGGGATTGAAATTTTTTTTTGACCGGGTACGGGTACGGGGATGGGTTTGCCTATACCCGCCCCGTAGACCCGCCCCGTACCCGTCCCCGTACCCGCCCCGCATTATTTATATATATAATATATATTTTTTAATTATTATATTAAATATAAATAATTAAATAGTAGGAATATATTAAATATTAGTTAAAATGGGGATTTTTAGGTTTTCATTATATAATTAAATATTAGTATTATAATTAAATATTGATTTATTTGTTGAAATAAATCATTAAATTGCATATTTATTTATTAAAAAAAAAAGAAAAATAAAATAGACGGGGATTTTTACCCGCCCCGATACCCGTGGGGATTTTATGGGGCGGGTATGGGGATTCTTTTAATACCCGTGGGGATTTTTTACGGGGATGGGGATGGGGATTTTCATAGCGGGGCGGGGATGGGGATTGCAAAACCCGCCCCATACCCGCCCCATTGCCATCCCTAGTTACATGTACATGTTGATTTTATTAATTATAGAGTGGTTTTCATTAATTACATAGTGGAATTTTTCGTGGAATTCGTTAATTACATGTAAATAGTGATTTTATTAATTATAGTGTGGTTTTCATTAATTACATAGTGGATTTTTGTAATGGAATTCGTTTAATTATACAGTGGTTTTTGTTAATTACAAAGTGGTTTTCATAAATTATATAGTGGTTTTTGTTAATTGATAAGTTTTTAGTGAATTTTTTGAATGAAATTTGTTAATTACATAGTGATGGTTTTTGTTAATTACGTTAATTACAGAGTGGTTTTCATTAATTACATATTGGATTACGTTAATATTAATGTGGATTTTGCTTATTTTATAGTAATTTTTACAATATGTTTATAGTGGTTTTCGGATTTTTTTTAAATATGAACCATTTAAAAAAGTGAAATAAAAAAAAAATCAATTTTTGTTTTAAATTGATTTAAAAAAAACTATTCAAAAAATTATAAAACTAAAACTGAAATGCGTGTTAGGGGAGATAATTGAGATAATTAGGGGATGGTGTTGGGAGAAAATAAAGGGATTTGCATAACTACCAAAAAAAATAATGGATTTTTCAAAATAATATAATATGATAATTTTCAGGAATATTAAATAGGGGTATTCTGGATAATTTCAATCAATTGGATTTATAACAAATATCAATTAAAAAAAATGGATTTATCAAGAAGTCAAAATTGAACGAGGGGTGTTTGTCATATAGCCCCTTTTTTAAGACCGTTTTCTCATACTTTCGTGCATCAATCTAGGGGAATGATGGAGGATTATTCAAATGAATTATCTAACGAATAAATATTTGAGACACGGAAAATTCTACTCGATTGGGTTAAAGGAGTGGTAGACGCCACCAAATGGTGATAAATATTTTCGTTTCAAATATTTAAATAATATCAATTTACCAAATATATAATGTATTATTTAAAAAAAATCAAAAAATATCGGTATCCGAAAATCGATTTTGTACTCAATAATCAACATTAGAACGCCGATTTTTTTACTTGTAAA